GGCAGTTGTCTAGGGAGGCAGTTGTCCAGTGGGCAGTTGTCTAGGGAGGCAGTTGTGTAGTGGGCATTTGTCCAGTTGGCAGTTGTCTAGGGAGCCAGTTGTCTAGGGAGGCAGTTGTCCGGTGGGCAGTTGTCTAGGGAGGCAGTTGTCTAGGGAGGCAGTTGTGTAGAGGGCAGTTGTCCAGTTGGCAGTTGTCTAGGGAGGCAGTTGTCTAGGGAGGCAGTTGTCCAGTGGACAGTTGTTTAGGTAGGCAGTTGTGTAGTGAGCAGTTGTCCAGTTGGCAGTTGTCTAGGTAGGCAGTTGTGTAGGGAGGCAGTTGTCCAGTGCGCAGTTGTCTAGGTAGGCAGTTGTGTAGTGGGCAGTTGTCTAGGGAGGCAGTTGTGTAGTGGGCAGTTGTGTAGGGAGGCAGTTGTCTAGTGCGCAGTTGTCTAGGTAGGCAGTTGTGTAGTGGGCAGTTGTCTAGGGAAGCAGTTGTCATATAATTTCTTTATTTGAAGTGTATTTTTATGTTTATTTACAGAAATGTTTTAACTGAATCAGCTCGTATAGCCCGTGGTAATATAGAAGAATTATCCAAATTAAAAGCTAATGATTTTGATGCTGTCATATTCCCTGGTGGATTTGGAGCTGCTAAGAATTTGTAAGTATGGTAGTTTTAGACCCAGTAAAAACTTACTTGTCAATTTGTTTTCCGGAATTGATACACATATACATTAATTTCCTTTCTATTTCTGTTTTAAAATTGAATAAAAATTATTTACAGCTTGCATTTTGATTTAGTTTGAAATCGTAATTTTTGTATTTTGGGATCAAAACATGAAAAAACAAACTGTGGTGGGCAAATTTGTTTAACGGATGTGTGCGGTGACTAGAAACCTATAGTTTTTTCTTGGTCTTAAATATTTGTGAGTTTGTATCATCGTCCTGGGAACATCTATACAAGTGTCTGTACATATAGCTAGAACTTATGGATATATACATGACCTTTGACCTTACAGGTGTAACTTTGCAGTAGAAGGTACTAAGTTATCAGTGAACCCTGATGTGGAAAGGGTTTTAAAAGAATTTCATTCCGCGAAAAAACCTATTGGGTAAGAATGAGTTTTCTTCTATCACATGTAAATGAATTGCTCATTGATGGATCTATAATTGAGCCTATCCATTATGGTTCAGCACTGCTGATCTGCATCTAGTACTGGACCAGAATATTATTGCAAGTGAGTGACTCTATGATTAACTTGTTTTCCAGTCTCTGGCCCTCAATAGTACTTGTTATTTTATACACATGGACCATGTACCAGCCCTTATTCCGGCCAGGAATTTTGTGTGCTTGTTGGAAAACATTGTTTTACATAAGTGTAGCAACTTTAGGCCATGGAAGTTTCAGCCACATAAGTTTCGTGATGCACATGTTTTTTTTATCTTATTGAGTTTTGCATATTCATATTTACTAAAATGTCATTTATTGAGTATGTATTGCATTTCACAATGAAAGGTAAACTCAGACTGGAATGGTAAAGAAGTAGCAAGCAACATAATACATGTTGGCATATATGTAGAATACATAATGAAGAATTTGTTATCAAGATTTTCTCTAGTGTAGACAAATATGGTTATAGTATTTTACCTAATTTTGTATTTCATATTCTAAAATCATTTTAGATTAGTTGTTATTTTATGTTTCTTATATAGGACTTTACTCAGACATTGTTTTTGTGTATGTTCCAAATAAAATATCCTATCCTATCATCTCGTCTCGTCTCGTCCGAACCTGACAAAATAATCTGCAAACCCCAAAACAAATGCAGACTAACCAAAAAGGCGTTTTTGAAATTTTCCGCTTTCTACAATGTTATTATATCCCTCAACATTTTTCTAGCAAAATACTATCCTATTTAAGTATTCTGAAATCGTGCCACCTAACCTAATTTATAGTAATTCAAATCATGCTTTTTCAGGTTGTGTTGCATTGCCCCAGTCTTGGCAGCAAAAGTCATAAAGGGATGTGAGCTAACAGTAGGGCATGATCAAGAGGAAGATGGGAAGTGGCCATATGCTGGAACAGCAGGAGCACTGCAAGAGCTTGGAGCTAAGCATGTTAACACAAGTGTAACCATATCCTTTGCTTGACATAACATTTTGTGCAATATTCATGGAAGATAGCTTTACAGTTGGCTTATCCAGCTAAATATGTGTCTATATAGTAATGTTGTATGTGATACCTTACAGGAATAGAATTGCAATTTTGACATCGTTTTAAGGCTGTATTTTATTTTAATTTAGGGAGAGTATAATTAAGTCACTTTAATGGATTGCTAGAGGTAAGTTCACTGTTTAAAGTGTGTGTGATATTGTATACTGAGAACAGACTTCTCAAGGTGAACCAAGTGAGTATTGGTCACCAAATCCGGGAGAGAATAACGCACTGGAGAGGAGCACTTGTAGCCAAGGTGTTTATTGCTCAACTGCTAGGCCTGTTCCATGACAATGTATCAATATCATTATGCAAATAACTAAACTAAACGTCATAGCTTCAAATCATTACAGATATGTTGAGTGATGGGTGGGTGTTTGGATTTATCAAGCAATATGCCAAGCTGTATACAATACATAGTACTTTACAGCCGTTCTGAGAATTATTTGGACAGTCAGTTAGCAATATATCTTGGAACTTTGCAAAACACTTGGGTCTTTTCCAATCTAGACTTGATGGTGCTGTTGTATTGGCATGCCCACAATTGGGATTATTCCATTATCTTGCTAGATGCGGGTAAAACGCTGTTTTCAAAATGACACTCGTTGGTTACGGTAATACCATACATTAACAGGTTATACGTTGTAAATGCATTCAAAGTGTTATTTTGTTATAACCACCTGACATAGCACAATTTACAAAACAACCCGAGTGTTGAGTAACTCCAGGTATTAATGAACTCGTCGTTGGCGGGAAGGCTCAAAATAAAGTTTTTTAGCATTGGACGCTCTGCAGTTTCGTGAGAGTTTTGGGCCAAACTAAAAAAATTATGCATTATGTATCAAATTCAGATTTTATACCGAGGTGGGAGAGTATGTCAGGAATACACGGACGGAAAACTTGATTATAACGATTTGATGGACTTTGTCAAATCAAAAGTGCCTACCTTCAGTGTATCACTTTTTCAACTGCAGTTTGAAAATGACGGGGGTATGACGACCGTTATTTTGTCTAGTCAATCAGGTCCAACTGACTAAAATGAGCAAGGGGTTGACATTTTTCGGCAAATTTAAGCAACACCCAACTTTTTAGTAATTTTTAAAATTACTGAAAATAATTACAATATAAATATAAAAAATAAAGAATGGTTGCTGTAAACGCACACTAGATAATACATGTACTTGCAATTCACCATGCCGACAATATGAAATAGTAATCCCAAACCACGCGCCCGTCAATCAAATAGCGTCAACAAGTCTAGATGGGCAAAGTATTTTGCAAAGTTGCAAGTAATTTTGCTAACTGACTGTCCAAATAATTCTCAGAACGGCTGTAAAGTGTTACATTCTCTTTACTGCATCATGTTCTGTCTGGATACCTTGCAACATCTGTATACTGCATTGTTAACATGAAAGTTTAACCTTAAAGACTGAGGTAATTTAACTCATTAAACTTGTTTTAGGGATTTCAAGGTTTCATTTCATAGTATATTTTTCTTAACGATTATTGCACGATATCCATGTGGATGACAAGAATAATGTTATAACTACAGCTGCTTACATGTGTGCAACAGAATTACATAATATATTTGATGGTATTGGTCAAATGGTCAGCAGTGTGCTTCATAGAGTTAAATAGACACAATGGATACTGGTATAATGTGTTTGCAAGAACAACTCAGAACCCTTCTTATGATAAACTTATTTGTATTTGTAGCTAAAACATCTCCATAAATGCTAAATTAGCTTTGATGTTTAATAACAAGTCAAAATGATCTTTGTAATATTATAAAGTTATGTGTTTTCCAAAACAGCTGATTAATAGTTTCCAAATAAAATAGAACATAGAACAAGTTATTTGCTTGATCACCCTGGAAGAACCCTGCTTGATGACATGTATTTTGTATCTAACAAAGCACAATAAAGTGTCAGCTACTTTATTATTATATATATTTTTTGTTGTGTACGTGTGATTATTTAAATAAACAGAGCTAATAACAGAATGCGGTGTAGCAGATATGATTTGCTCTTATTAAAAATTATCTTTCTTTCACTATTTATTGGGGGCCATGTATTTTGTTGGGAAGTTGGTTCTTTTGTGTAGCCTATATACAAAACAAAACAGTAGTTTTCCTTCAAATATATTTGAAAGAGTAGTGATAAAACCTTTTTTTTGAAGAGTAGGAAAAAAAGATATTTTCACTGATTCTTTCGTGAAAATAGTGATAATAAAGTACTTTACAGTACGTATGCATGTCAATGCATCTTGTTCCATTGGTATCTCAACAACCATTCACAACATACACTGAAAGTTCACTACTGTTAGGCTTGATTATTAGTTGTGCTTTTCTGCTTATTTTGCTGACAGCTAAATGCATTTAATTAAAACAGAAGTGAATATTTAAATTTATTAATGGAAAGTATGGCTTCCTTTATTAAAGTGAAGAATTAAAGTGAAATATATATCTCTGCAAGTACATTATAAATAAACAATTACTATAGGAAAAATTGGAATATCTCATTATGTTTATGTTTACATCTGTGCATATTAATTAATTTAATTTGCATACAAAAATATTCAAGGAAAGTGGAAGATGCAACTTTACTAATTAAGTTATTATGAACTCGTGGTGGTAGATTTTGGAGGAAATCAGTGAATATTTTTTTTTCAAAATGTACAGTTTAAATTACTGAAGAGGTTTTACAATTTTCTGACATCTCTCCTCCCTAACTGCTAATGGTCATTCATATCTGCTTACTTCTAGGTGTTTTAGTGATATCTCAAATACAAACGAATGGAACATGTGGTATTAATTACACAAAACTATACATAAACTCATAATTTTTGAGAAAATTGGTCATAAATCACACAACAATGTCCGTTGATTTATTATGTAAAGTCATGATGCTATTCCATGGCAAATGAAATAGCATTCTTTTGAGAAAATTTTAGTACAATTCCATTGAACAGAAAAATTGCATTTTTTGACGCTAATTAAACTCAATATTTTAAATAATTCTGGGCAACATAAAGTATGGTACCCTATCATTAATAATATATGATTTTTAGCAGCTATAATTTGTGATATGGCAGACTATCTCTTTCATGATATGTAAGAGAAAATGGCAATTACAATATATGTTTATAAAATTTGGTATATTGAGTGGTTGACTGTTACGGGGGAGGGGGTTGTATTCATCTGTGAATGTAGCATATGTGGTTACTCACACTGACACACGGACACGAGTATTGTATTCCATCACATGTGATGTATTCAACCTGTGTTCCCTCTTTTATCAGCATAATGGTTACGTCCACATGTAGGTAAATGAATTGAACACAGCGTTTCTATCAGAGTTGCAAAATGATACAGCAGTGGTACACTTCTGAATTTTATGGGGGAAATATTTGGCAGATGTGACGTCTTAATATATATGCATTAATCTGAATGTGAATGTGTTCTGGTGAGTATGATTAATTATGTAGTATGTGTATGATTAATTTTCCCATCTCTGTGCACCATTCTCCTACTGTCTCCACAGCATATAGGACATGGGGACAGGCAAATATTCTCACTCAACTTAGTGTTGTTCTATTATGTAGGTAATTCTGCGAATTCACTGAATTAATGTTCATATAATAATAGGCATAATTTGTACTATTTTTGGGTGTATTTATGTCCGTGTCATATTATTACAGCTATGCTTCTGTTGATCACCTTTACAACATCGAACATTTTGTTTTAACACTAAATAGCATCTGATCCAGTGCTATTAGATTCTACTCTTGTGTTTCATTACTGTGCCCATTGGTTGCCGTGGCAACTGTTCACGTTTTCTAATAAGATCTTAAGTGATTGGGAAATGAAATTCCTAATAGTATATCAGGGTATAAGTGAAATGATGTGTTAGGATGGACACCATGAGAAAATATCTGTCGAGTTTATTGCGTAATAACAATTACATGTAAAGTGCGAAAGGTGTACAGCAATCGATTTTAATACAGGACATATCTCGTATGTTCGACAACGCTATGTGCACTCAATTACCGAATCCGTGACTGTCTATAGATTTCCAGCCTGGTGAATTTCATAGGACATGAGCAATATTTTCAACAACAGCAAATAATACCAGGGGATATTTTGAACTAAAAAATTGAAAGCCCTGTCTCTTAAAAAAACTACCTGAAATTCTAATGCAGCGCGGCCGTTTTCATTTTATTCTAGTAGTAGTATAGAGGATGTTGTACAATGATGTATATATTGGCTGATTGTGTTTGGTATGAAGGAAATGTGATCAGTGGGTCGCTATTATGTGCAACTGATCAAAGCTAATGCGCCGATTCACCAAATCTGATTAAACTCAGGAATAGCAGGCCGTCAGTGAACATCGCCTAAATGTAGCGACGACTTAAAGCGAACTGGGCCTCCTACATCGGATTTTAATCAGCCTGAGGCTTGCGTGCTTAAATACTAAAGTCGTATTCGTTATATGTATCGTTGTCCGGTTTTATAACGATTGCTCATGTTTTATTATGTGAATGTATAATTCCGGATTGTTAAAAAAGTAGATAATAATATCGATCCGTGGGGTGTCGTATTTAAATCACGTATATTTACCAGGTAACCATGGGGATAGATTTAGAAGCCAAGTCACGTACACGTCTGATTGTTCATGCTATAAGAGTGGGTTATCCAGACTTTATGTCGGTTGCAATTAAAACCATTGCTGGGATACACTAAGTGAACGTATTACGTGGTTCTTTGGTGCGACTGAGCAACAGACTGAGTGTTTTAATATCAGTTAAGAGTATGATAGTCATATTACACTTTAGAATTATTGATATATGATTAAAGTAAAGCGGAGCGTAAAATACATTCACGTGATCCGAGCAACCAGTGAGTTCATATGATAAGAATAAAGCTTGCTTACTGAGGCGAAGTATTAATATAATGAGGGTAGATTGTAATGAAAGTATGTGCATCGAAACATATCTCAAATCCTTGACACTAAATGTACGGAAACAATAATATGTGCATCGAAACATATCTCAAAACCCTGAAATTAAATGTACGAAAACAATTATAATATGTGCATCGAAACATATCTCAAAACCTTGACATTAAATGTACGAAAACAATAATATGTGCATCGAAACATATCTCAAAACCTTGACATAAATGTACGGAAACAATAATATGTGCATCGAAACATATCTCAAAACCTTGACACTAAATGAACGGAAACAATAATATTGCATCGAAACATATCTCAAGAACCTTGACACTAATTGTACGGAAACAATAATATGTGCTATCGAAACATATCT